GTGTAATATTCCTGTGAAAAACTTCATTTTTTCAGATCTCTTATCTCGTCAGTGATCTGTCAATAAGTGTATCTAAAAATAAGATCCCAGCATTCAACGCGAGGAAATCTCAGATGTATTAAATGAGTCGTTTTACAATAATCTAATATTAAACATCAAGGCTAAAGTTTTAACGAATTAAGGGGTCGCTTGAATATCAACGCTGTGTAAGTGTATACTGTTTCGCACATGATACCCCCCATGCGTTGCCATTCCTGAGGACTCGGGTGTTATTCCTCTGTACCATGTAAATTCACGCCATATCCCACCCTTCAAACCGAAACACAGCCATGAAAATACAACTGCTTTACGGTTGAAACACGAACGCGACAGAGGTACCCAAGCAAACGCCTTTTGTACAAAGTCTCCCTCTGGTAAATCTATCTACTAATATAACATGTAACATATAACTATCTATCTGATAACATAACAGGGTTCAGTCTCACTTCAAGTTTAATTTAGTTTTAGTTTGTTTACATACACTCAATCGTGTTTAATAACATGTTATTATAAATACGAAATGATGTTAAACTACGTTGTATTTAATGTGTAGGTATACTAGTGACCCGCCCCGGCTCCGCACGGGTGCACATTACATCACATCACATTAGAAACTATATTATGTATGTATTATACATATAAATATTTCTCTTGAAACACTCTATCTATTTAAAAAAAAACGCATCAAAATCCGTTACGTAGTTTTAAAGATTTAAGCATACATAGGGACAGACAGACGGGCAGCGACTTTGTGTAATACTATGTAGTGATTATAGATAAACATCAGTTTGTAATGTAGTTCTTAAAATCATTACTTTTTGCAATAAGTATTCTTAGCATGTTGACATCATTTTCAAGTCATTTTCTGATATTAGACACCCCATCTAGATGTGTATCATCTTGAAAAATTGTCCAAAGACATTTGTATTGTATTGTAAAATTTTTATTGTACATAATTCATACTTAATACGTCAAAAGATTTAATAAGGGATCCATAAAGGGATCTCTTGCAGTCAACCTTTGAGAAGCTGAAAGAAAACTGTAGAATGTACAAGGGTAATAACCGTATAGTTAAAGATTATATATATATATATATAATATAATATATATATATATATATATATATATATATATATATATATATATATATATATATATATATATATATATATATATATATATATATATATATATATATATATATATATATATATATATATATATATATATATATATAGATGGATTTTGCATTAAAACAAATTTATTAAATATCATATAGTTGCGAATTTTTTTATTGTTTTTAAATTTATCCAAAAAGTTCCCACACAGATAGGGAGCAGCTAATGGGGTCGAAGCCTCCTATCTTATCTAGCAAAGCCGTTGTCCAGTGGGTCGCTGCTTCCTTGCGTTACACAAACCTATTTGTTAAGTCCGGTGGATTTGTTGGCAACTAATTTATATCGTTCCATGGGTGATAGCATCGTTTCATGGGTATTTCAATAGATAGCCTTATAAATAGTTTCAGGACATTTAAAAACTCTTTGCTATTCAGGAATTTTGAATATTTTAATCTTGAAGGTGTAATAGTTTGTACTCACAAAAAAAAATTATAGATTATTTAAAAAAAAAAATAACTGCTTAGTTTCCTATATATAATTGGACAAGTAAAGTTTAATTAACTTACTGTTTGTCATTTTCAAAAAGAGTTTTGGATAATGATTCTTTTTGGTACTGTTTTTGTACATTTAGTTTCTTACTTATTTTTCTAAACTGACGAAAATAGGTTCCAAATTGAGTGGTAGAATAATAAAAAATGACAAATCAAAAACGCTTAAAATCAAGTTTATTCAAATTAAAAAGTATTTCCATTCTTATATCTTTATCTCGTTTGTTAGTAACTTGATCCTGCAAGATTTGATAGCAGACCACAATCTGACAGGACCTCGCAGTTATTCAGTGCAATTACGTACGGAAGGAATGTTATCGGGTGACAAATTCGCCAATCTCGATTTTGAGCCTCATTAAGCTTGACAAAGGCTCATTCTCCAAGTCTACAGCATTATAAACGAGCTAATTACTCTTCTCCATCCAAAGGTTGCTGCGAAGAGATCACTTTGACAAGACAAAACCGCGCATTGTTTTATAAGCGTAATATTTTCTCGTCATTTTTGTTTTTTGTTTTGTTTATCATTATAATAAAACAGTAAAGTTAATAATATAAAGTATGTTTTGTTTTTTAATGGATGGTAATGGAGTGGTAACCTCGGCTGCGCTATCGGTATACTTGTACGCTGGCGGGGCACCAGTGAGGGATGTTATTTATTTATCTATTTATATAACACTGTATTGCACCGTTGGTTTGGTCATTTGGAGAGGATGGATGAAGGAAGAATTACAAAAGAGATTTATCGAGCAAGAATGAATGGAGATGTCGGTAGGGGCCGCCCTAGATGGACGTATGTTGACCAAATAGGCGACGTGCTGAAGAAGGGCCAAATTAAAAGTACCCGTAACCGGCGAGTGTGTATGAAAAGATTGATGAATGTGCAGGAGGCGAAAGAGGTTTGTTTGAATCGAAGCATTTGGCGTTCCATTGTTTCTGCCTACCCTAATGGGAGACAGGCGTGACAGATATGTATGTATGTATGTAATGTATTGCACCAACTTTACAGGATTTGTTGAACAATTTTCAATAAGTATAGTGTAGTACAAAAGGCGGTTTTATTGCTAAGCTTTTGTATGAGAGTATGGAAGTGTTGTTTTTAGAATGTTTCAGACAATTTTTTAAACCTTTCTCTCCGTAAGAATCATCCTCGTACTTCAGGGAATATTTAAAAAAAAGAAATAGCGATATTATAAAAGGAAATTGAAGCATGTCAAAAGTCTTATTATAATGCATATATGAGGAAAAATCTAATAAACTATCTTATTATGTTTTGAACTATAATTAAATGTGACGATTTTATGAGAAACAACAGGAAAAATGTTATTGATTTTAGTGTAATTATGTATGTACATAAATTAGCTTGCCGTTTGACCGACTGCAAGAGGAATAAATTCTTCGTACACTTATTACAATCATCTACAGAATCATATATTTATAATTTGAATGAAATGAAGTGAAAGTTTGAATGAGTATAAATGAGTATACTTTATTTGTATTATACAATATAGGAAATAAACAAGACAATTTACAAACACAACGATACAATTGTATAAGTACAGTGAGGCGGTCTTATTGTTGAGAGCAATCTTTTCAAGACAACCTTAAGGTAATGGTTTGCTAGTGCATTCAGCCAGTACATTGCACTATTTACACTATATTTTTAGCCATTGCTGTCTAAGATACAGGCTAGGCCTAGTTTAGACACTAATGTGCTGGGCATAATGTTACATTTTATATTTACATATTTCTCTTTGTAGTTACTGTAGTCCAAGACTGTATATTTTTACGTGCAATAAATCTTTATTAATATTTTTTCTTATAACTCAGAGGGCAAATGAACATGCGGCTCATCTGATGGTAAGTGACTACCGCCACCTATAAGCACTCGCGTCGCGACAGAAATGCGGGTGTACTGCCGGCCTTTTAAAAAGGAATATGTTCTTTTTTTGAAAATTTTGATGTCGTAACGGTTGGAATATTGCTGTTGGAAGTTGATTCCAAAGGGTGGTACAAGAGGAAGAAAGTGCCATAAAAAAGACACGGTGAAAGAGCGCCAGTCATTCAGATGATTATTGTGGAAGGTCATTAAATTCACTAAATAATAATCATGGCATCAATGGCGAAATTGGCTCTTTTATTTAATCCAATACTTGACTTTTATAATACGAAAATTGGTTTATGTTGGTAAAACCAGAAGCGATTTCTGAGTTTTCTTTTACAAGATTTTAAATTGTAAAAAAGGTACTTAAATCGCTTATAAATTTTGTTTGATATTACACATTAGTTTCGTCAACTTTTAATTTATATTAAGATTATTTCTTTTATTGGGGCATTTTATTTAACATTAATTTTATCACTACGAAGTAGCTGTTTTTATGAGCAAAATTCGTATTGAAGTGTGGTAATAGCTAAAAAAATGGTGTAAAATACACTATAATCTAAATGTCCGATATGAACGTAATAATATTTTGGCAAACTGTAAACTGTAGAACATTTAACAAGCTCATGAATTCAATACAGAATCGATCGGTTTTAATTAAAACGTCCTTCAAGAAGCGGTGTCGACAACCGATAAAACCATAAATGCCTCTTCACAAAATTGCTTTCAATTGGGTAATTTCATTTAACATTATTGGGGGGGGGGGGGGTATGTTTTGCTCGTGTCAGCTGCTTTCGTTGGCCAACTGCCAAGACTGAAGACCTTGCATTAAGCCTCAAACACGAGTTTGGCAAAACATGCAGGATTTATTATAATGCAGTTTGTGGTTGGTTCTTTTAGAGGTAATATATCCTAGTGTTTTTATATTCACTATTTGTATTTGGAGTAGGTAATATTTTATTCAGATCTAAAGAGTGCAGGTACACTGTAATGTAATATTAATAACAAAGCTATCGATTCCCAAACCTCATTGTTACATCTGTACTTCGAGCCGAAGGTTCTCTAATATTTACGTCATTGTAAGTTTCAGGGGTACGTTTGCCTATTAGGTACTTCTTGTTTTATATGTATATATGTATGTATGTATATATATATGCTGTAATAAAATCATAAGGGTTGTAAAGTCACATTGATTTTTTCCCATAAATTTGCAATAGAGTCTAAAATTAGGCTTCGGGAACCCGAATCAGTCATTTTTAGAACTGTGGGTCTACCATGAAGTGAGAATCCGGACTCAATTTCGTGTTTTTGTTCATGTATGTTGTGTACATGTCATAAATGCTACCACAGTAGTATAAAGCATACAAAATTGCATAAAAAAAGAACGTTCTATATTAATAAAATGAAGTAACTCACCGGATATGTTGTATCTCTCCTCATCGTAGTAGTCGTCGTGCGCGGCGCGGTCGTCGTCGTCGTCGGGCGCGGTCGGCGCAATCGGCGCGGTCGGCGCGGTCGGCGCGGCGCCCTGTAGCTGGTCGGGGCGGCGGGCGCGCGTCGCGTTCGGCGCGCCGCTCACCGCGAGCACCCACACGAGCGCCAGCCGCACCACCACCTCCATGCCGACATCACCGCGCTGCCACGGCTCGGTGTGCGCTGCACACAACATATTAGGAGCATATTTACCAGAGGGAGACATTATACAAAAACCATACTATATACATAACGGAGTATACTGTTTCGCCCATGATACTCCCCATGCGTTGCCATTCCTGACGACTCAGGTGTTATTCCTCTGTACCCAGTAAATTCACGCCATATCCCACCCTTCAAAGCGAAACTTAGCCATGCAAATACAACTGCTTCACGGTAGAAACACGAATGGGACAGAGGTACCCAAGCAATCGACTTTTGTACAAAGTCTCCCTCTGGTTGCGTTATTAGTTATGGAAATAAACATGTAACCTGAGTTTTGAGTAATATCAGTTTATCATTACACAGCGGGGTGTAAAAATTTCACTAACAAAAATTGGGTCAATGAAGGCGTTTAACTCTTTGGTTATATTAATTAAAGATTCAGATCGGACGGAAATGCTATTATTATACTAAGAAACACAATCACTACCAATTTTATCAAAGTATTAATATTAAATGGAGTAATAAAACGAATGAATCATGGGTGAAACAGTACACTCTGTTATGTCCATGGTACTGCTCATGTCTATAGGCGACGGTTACCACTTTCCATCAGGTGGGCCGTCAGCTTGTTTGCTATTCTACATTGTATAAAAAAAAAAAGAATAAAATTTCCCCACAAGTTGACAATTTACTTAATTGCTGTAGAATTTTATTTTTAATTTACATTTCAAATATAAGAATTTTGTATAATTTAACTTTAGGAGCACTTGCTCCGATATAATTAGTAACAAATTTATATTATGGTAACCCCAATAATGGAGCATGGATAAAAAGTTGACATATTTCTAACGAAGTATTTGTATGGAGATACTCTATCTATGTAATCCAAAACTCGTACCTATTTTTTCTTTTAATGGGTGATAATGAAATGGTAACCCCACCCACGCTAACGGTATACACTGGCGGGGCACCAGTGAAGGATGATAGGTGAGGATGAAGCAGGTCAGTTAGTCCGTCGTGACGAATTCAACAAGAATTGTTCACTATGGTTTCCAGGGGGAACCGCGTGGAGGTCGATTTAATAGGGCAAATTGCTAACAATGGGGCTGTCAAACTCTCTTGCTAACAATCCCTTTCCCCCCAACTCGTACCTATTTACTAGACAATAATACTCCTGAAAAGCATCTATAGTGTTTGCAGTCAGTTAAAAAGTAGCATTTTCAGTCGAGGTCTTACGTTATTTAATAAAGCGCTATGCGCTGTAGCTATATTATTTTTAGGAACTATGGCCCTCGGTAATCCCTATAGGTATGTATTACTTTACAGTAGAACTGGCTACTAGTGATGGGCCGAATCAAGTATGAAATACTTAAGTACTTAATATACATGATATTTGTATACCAATTTAGAATACTTGTGGTACTCGAATACTGGGGATGTCTTTATCCTAAGTTTTTATATTTCAGATTCATAATTTCATTTTTTTTTTATTTCCAAAGGAAAGATGATTAAATCATTGAATATTTAATATTTACATTATAAATAAGTTTTAGTAACAAATTGACTCAAATATCCATATAAATATTCCAGTATTTGTCCGAGTTTGGATTCGATATTTTTAACGAGTACTAAAAAACTCAAATCCAATTAAGACTGTATTTCACAAAAAACGAATAATATCGGTTATTTTGATTTAAACTAAACTAGTGAATCGATTTCGATATCATTTTTACGAGACCAGTCTGTAAGTATATCGTTTCAGATGAAAAAGAATTTTTCAAATCGGTTTAGAACTGACGAAGTTACGAGAGAATAAACATGAAAAAATGCAATCGAATTGAAAGTCACCTTCTTTTGGAAGTCATATGAAAAAGGTCGACGTAGCACATCACTACTGGATACAAGGTCAGGGGTTGGCTGCTTTAGACAGTCTTATTGTTGCGAGGATTACCAAAATGGGGCTTGACCTACAAAACACCGGTGATTTACATATCAAATATTAATAATCTTCGACTACACAATGGAACAAATGTGACCATGAGAGTTCTGTAGCGAAACTAAATAAACATAATGCTGAATTATTTGTGTTCAATTGAAAATTTATGTAAAAAATTTGTATTATTCAGAGCTTTTTTATATGTACTCTATGTTATAAGTATGTATTAGTTGTCTAGTACCCTTAATACTCGTGTAAGTAAAAAGACTTTACCAAAGTACCAGAGGGGGACTTTGTACAAAAGTCGATTGCTTGGGTACCTCTGTCCCATTCGTGTTTCAACCGTGAAGCAGTTGTGTTTGCATGGCTGTGTTTCGGTTTGAAGGGTGGGATATGGCGTGAATTAACTGGGTACAGAGGAATAACACCTGAGTCCTCAGGAATGGCAACGCATGGGGGGTATTATGGGCGAAACAGTATACTCTGTTATGTCCATGGTACTGCTCATGTCTATAGGCGACGGTTACCACTTTCCATCAGGTGGGCCGTCAGCTTGTTTGCCATTCTAAGTTGTATAAAAAAAAGACTTTATCTCTGTTTTACTTAGTATTGGCAACTAGATGATAACAAGTGTCACCTATTTAATTTATTTATTATATTAATATAAGTAATATTAAAAAAAAAACAAATAACATTTTATATTTTGATACGAAATTAAAACCAAAAGTTACGATGAAGTAAAAAATCAAAATTATCCTTCTAATAATAACTAAACAAAAAACAAAATAGATACATATTAGTAATAACACAACAGACAACGCAAATACTAATAATGGTATTCACACACATTCACATAAACATACACACACACACACACACACACACACACACACACACACACACACACACACACACACACACACACACACACACACACACACACACACACACACACACACACACACACACACACCCGTAAACACAATAAATGCAAATATACATATTATTAAAAAGTACATTAATCATGATTATTAACCAAAGGTAAAATGTAAAGCCCATAGAATGTAATTAATTGTTATGAATGAGCGGTTTCTCCAAACACAAGCAATTTATATTTGATGATATAAATATTATTAAATTTATGAAGATTAAAAAATACCCTTTCGACGACTCATCCATCCATCCATGACGATGCCATAATTTTAATACCAGTGAGGGATAATAGGTAAGGATGAAAAAGCAGGTCGGTAATAAATTGTAAATTGTACTTTATGCAACTGTATCTCACATCAATTATCTCATTGCCATTGTACATTTTTGTGTTTGTAGTGCAATAAAGAATTATTATTATTATTATAAGTTAGCCTATCGGGACCGCGAGGACGTCGACCTGATAGGGTATTTTTTTTTGATAGGCGGGGTGCCTGCGCTAACGGGATACGCTGGCGGAGCACCAGTGAAGGGTGATAGATGAGAATGAAAACAGGCCAGTTAGCCCATCATGATGAATTCATCAGGAATTAACCATGATAGTTTCCAGGGACAACTGCGAGGAGGTCGACCTGGTTGGGTATATTGCTAGCACAGGGATTCTCAGTCTCCATTACTAACAATCCCTTTCCCCCCCTGACAGGGTATTGCATTACTAGCAACCGAGTTGCTAATCCCCATAATTAATATTCCCTTCCCCTAATAAAACCGGACAACTGTGAGTTGAAGTCGCACGTCGATAGTTTCGTTTATAACATAACTTGAAAACAGGTTTTTATTTTCTTTAAATGTAGACTAGCAATGTTTTTTGTTGTTACAGCCGTTGTGGCCACTGCTGGCCTTAAGCCTTCCCCATAAGGGGAGTTTTGCCAGTAGTTGTCACGCTTGGCAGGCGGGTTGGCAACCGCAGTTAGGCTTTTAGAGATATTTTAAGAGGGACGCTGCTGTCTATTCCTCGACCATAAATTCCCTAAGTCGCCTCTTATGACATCTACGGCTAAGGAAAGGGTGGCCCATTCTATGCCAAGGTAAATACGTCGAATATTGTTATCTACTAATTTATATAAAGCAGTTATTTTTATTTAGATCTCAGAATTAATGAATTAATGAAAATTTGTGCAAGCTATAAAGCACTAATATATACGGGAAATACTAAACTGGTAAATTTTTTTTAAAGTATATGTCTAAATCTATGTATATATTTATACATGTATGTATATAATATTTTTTATAATTAAATTAGTTTAATAAATAATATGTATTTGATATATATTTTTTTTATACAACTTAGAATGGCAAACAAGCTGACGGCCCTCCTGATGGAAAGTGGTAACCGTCGCCTATAGACATGAGCAGTACCATGGACATAACAGAGTATACTGTTTCGCCCATGATACCCCCATGCGTTGCTATTCCTGAGGACTCAGATGTTATTCCTCTGTATCCTGTAAATTCACGCCATATCCCATTCTTCAAACCGAAACACAGCCATGCAAGCACAACTGCTTCACGGTTGAAACACGAATGGGACAGAGGTACCCAAGCAATCGACTTCTGTACAAAGTCTCTCTCTGGTTTTGTTCATTATAGGTTTTTGTATTTTATGCACGTAAAAATTTTTAATTCACTCTTGCGCCACCTACCCACTTTTAACCACGTTCTCCTTTAACCAAAGGTTGTCTGTAAGAGATTGCCTTAGCGATAAGACCGCCTTTTGTACCTTTATATGTATATTTTAATCTGTACTTTATACTACTGTATTTAACTTAAATTGTTTATACGCCATTGTTTATTCTTACGTTTTTGGTGTAATAAAGAGTTAAATAAATAAATAAATTGTATTGTATTAATTTAACTATACGTAAAATTTGAACTATGACGATTAATACTGATACGGAAAGTATATTTCATCGTAGCGTGAGTGACTGCAGTTATGTTACTTACGGGTACAATAATGAATAAAAACGTCTCAAGTTCCTGTTACCTATATAAGAAACGAAATAATTAATCTATACATTTTAGCTAATTTATAACTATTACCAATAGTAAAATAATGTTAACGATACTATTTGATTTTCGCGC